GTGTGCTCGGACCCTAATTACAGTCAGTGTTGAGGATTCCTTAAAGGTAGCGGTGGTGTTTTTTCTGTTCTTCTTCTTGTCACGAAATCCTGTGAAGAAACCCAAACCAGTGATGATTAGTAGTACTTTCTGACTTCACTGCTCTGTCTGCGGTAGGTCAGAAGTTCTATTAGACTTTGAGTGCACAGACACAAGTCAATGAGGAAAAAATAGATCATCGCCAGCTTTAAGCGCCAACATTTTGACGAAGGCTAGGATGATTACAGAATATTACAGATTACAGCTTTGAGGCAGAAGAAAACTTGAGGAGTGAAAAAAGACAACAGTTAAAGTCAGCTATCTTCTGTTTAGTGTGGCCCAAAGGCTTAGCAGTAATTGAAAGATGTGCAACTAAAGCAAGAAGAAGCCCTTTTGACAACTCCGAGTAATCTTTGTCAGCCTGAGGGACGTCTGCCAGATAGCTCAATAAATCCAGAATACATGACAGACAAATAGTTTTTGATCATTCGCACAAACTTGCTAAAAAATTATTAAGTGCTGAGAGACATTCAAAAGGTCTGCTGGCAGTGATATAACTCTGAATGACTGAGAGTCACAGCACACTGTTGGCCTTGATGAAAATGTTTTTATGAAATTTATTCAAAGGTGTCAATTTGGGAGAATAGTTCAAAATCAGCAGCCGTTTTAAAACAAACTGAAACTAGATGCTCGGTGCCACCACAGATCTGGTGTTTGGCACCGTTGTGTTGATATTCACGCCACGGCCTTCAGCTGGGATTTGGCGCCATGGTTGAAGGACAAGCACACACATATTCAGGTGCATCCGCCCCCGCAGTTTAAAACACAACCACTCCTGCTATTCCTGTCCGCCACACACAGACGTAAACACACCACGACACCATCAGCACCTCCCAGCAGGCAGGTGGCCGTAAGTAGCCGACCTCGGGAGGTGACAGAGTTATTTACATCACGTTCACACAAACACACAGCGCTTCACGGACGCCCCACGCCCAAACACACCACCCCCGCTGCACCCGTTATCTCCTTTAATGTTTTTATAATGATGTCAGGGATGATTTGCTGTGAACGTGGAGGAGACGAAGCGCAGAGAGGTTCAGACAAGGGGGAGCTCACAGTTAGGAATGTTAATGTTAAACTGGAAATAATTTAATTGATTTGAAAATATATGAACCCTAAAACCTGCTGGTGGGTTTGAGAGATGTGTTGTCTTCTCAAAAAAATACCCAAATTACAACATTAATCAGAGCCAGAAACTGTAAAAACAGAAAGAATTGTTGGATTTTTAACTTTCTGATAGTCTTGCTCATCAGTGACATGACGGTCAGTTTGGAAAATGATCCAAATCGAAGCTTAGAATTGAGCTATTTCCTCAAAATCACTGTATTCTACATGTTTCATTTGAAAACTTGCAAAAGACAAAAAAAAAAGTTATTTGCTTTCACTGGATTCTGTAAAAAGCAAAAAAAATCTGCACTCTTTGGTCCAATGCTGAGGCCAAGAGTGACTCAGCTGCAACCAACAGTCACACTACACACATTTAAGGGACTTTTGGCTGAACTGCAGGCTGAGTGTACACAATGAAAACAAATGAAAAATGTAAATGGTAAAATATCTGTAGTAGGTAGAGCCCACATGCTTTTTCTCGTCCTGATAATCCTTGTGAGTTAAAATGTCATTTCTTCATTTTTCCATGGTTCTAGCTTTGTTATGCTGCACGAATGACATTTTTGAGTGTTCTTACCTTCTAGTCATGGTTGTTCTGTTTCCATAGACGTGTAGGACTTTATATTGCGGTAAAAACTGAGCCCACAGTGAGTAAAAATGTGACAGGAGCAAAAAAGAAACACTGCCTGGAGTTCAGAGGCTTAATGAACAAGGCCAGAAAAGAAAGACTTTTCACTTAATCTGTCAGGTAGTGTTTTGTAGCTTTGCTGTAGAAACTGATCGTGCCACCTGCTGAAGCCTCTTACTATTTAATAAGACGGAGTTACTGGTGTGTCTGACCACCCATGACGGGTCGGACGAAACAAGCGCACCTCCCTGCTTTTTAACTGCCAACTGTTGCAGTCGTGTTGATGAACTCTGCAGCAAGTTGTGGAAAAGTGTCTGCTGGTTGGCGTCTGGTTTAGGTAGCCACCTGAGGCTTATGCTAAGCTAAGCTAGGATGTACAAATGCAGGTTGGGAGCTGAGTGTCTGTCAGCAGAAAGCAGCTGATGCATCTGACGACATTAAAGTGTGTCAGTAAATATGAACACATATCAAAGGTTGCAGTAAATACAGAAAGACTGATAAAGTTGCTGCGATAATATTTGTGGGCATCAGTTGGAGCAGAGCAGCAGGATTAATTACGGTGAACAAGTTGCTCCATCGTGTCGATCGGATATGAAGAATATTCTGATATCAAACTGCTGTGAAGAGATTAATAACGTTAAAGACTGCAGCTTGTTCACTGCGTTCAAAACTTCTGATTTTGTTGAGTCAATTGTTGAATAGAAATCGAAATAGAAGTCTTTATTTTTTTGCTCTCACTTATAATTCACTAACCTGATGTTTACTTTGTGTTCTTTAAAGTCCTCATGGAACTGAACTGATTTTATTAAAGTGTCAGAGGTTACAGATGATCACCATATGGAAAAAAAACATCTACTGTATTCATTCTATTCATTATCTGATTATTGATTTAAATGTGGATGACTATCTGTTAAATTTGGACCCTCATTCAAAGTTGTTCAGATTCTCGTCCTCCACGTTTCTGTCGATGCGTCAGGCAGCGTATTCATGCCACTTACAAGGCCGCCTCCAGCTATTTGTTTATTGTCGCTGCCTGCAGCCTTGCAGCGGCTCACTGTGTTTGTTTGTTTGTTTGTTATGTCATATGCTTTCATGTGTTCTGTCAACACGCTCGTCCACGTGTGTGAATTAAGAGGCGATTCATTCACTCGTGTTTATTTCCCCGAAGACAAGCGCTCTGAAACACAATGCAGACTGGACCCACGTTTCCCTGCTGCGTATGTTGGTCAGTGGTTTTAGGGAACAGGAATGTGTGTGTGTGTGTGTGTCCTGAATATCTGTGCTTGTTTGTTTGCAGAAGTGGATCGAGGGTTTGAGGTCAGTGATTCACAACTTTAAGGCCAACAACGTCTGTCCAATGACATGCCTGAAGAAACAGTGAGTAGATTTCCCAGCACGCTCCCTGCTTGCTGTAATTACCTGCTTCATACACCTTCTATACAGCTTATAAGTTCAAAAACATAATTTTAGGTTGTTTTGTTGTCTTTGATCTTTCTCTAATCTGAGTTTTCTTCCTTGTTCAGTTGGATGAGAATGTGTTTCCTGACCAATGTAAATGGAAAGATTCCTGTCAGAGGGTGAGCGTTGCCTTTTCTTCCTGCTTTCATTCATTTCACAGCACTCTGATTAGCTCCTCTTCACCTTCCTTTGTTTCTCTCTTTCTCATTTACAGCATTACACGAACATTTGCATCAGGGAAGACGGAGAAGGGGATCTTTCAGGCTCTGAAGGATCTGGGACTTCCTAGTGGAAAGGTCAGATACAGTCTGATGCATCTGTTCAATCTGTAAAAGTCAATTAAATGTTAGCCGAGGAGGGGAGTCTTTATCAGCTGAGTTCTGACTTGCTGTTTAATCACTGGAAAAATCTGCCTGTTGAAGTCTTGCATAAGAAAATTTAATGGAGACAACAAAATTAAAGTAAAACTTCTCCAATTTGAAGTTTGTACACTTGTTTGGAGTGGCTTTTTGACTTTTTTTAAAAAAAGAAAAAAAAAAAATTATGTAAGCAGAGATTTTTGTGACGTTTAACTCACGACTAGTTTCATTGTGTTCGTCTCCAAACAACATGAAACATGCTGATGCCAGATGACCTGAAAGAATAAGAACAAATCACCCACCACAAGCAATTCCTGGAGAATTCTCTACATTTTTCTCTCATAGATGGAGAAAGTTTTGTTTGTTCCTTCTAATTTTATTTATTTTTTGGTAAGAGTACATTTGTTTCTGGCTCTTTCTAGTCTGTATATTACAGCCATTCATAGCATAGTGAATACCACCACCTTTGTGTGTTAGCATGCAGCCTAATTTATTCCCTCTAAAACTGGGGGAAAAAAAAAAAAAACGGAAACTAGCTTAATATAAACTACATTTTTTGCAACATTTCAAAAGTTTGCTTCGAATTCACTCAACAGTTACATGAAAACACAGCTTCAATCAGTCATAGACATGATACCTAACACAGCTGGTTCCTGAGGTCATTAGATAGTGATTATATATGTCAACAGGAAATCCAAAGTGTGCCATCTTTTCGAGGATGAACCCAAGAAGGGGGCATCCAAACTCAGGGATTCAGCCAGAGAGGTTGTCCGGCTCTAAACAACCCTCTCAGGTTTTCTGTCGTCGTGTAGAATTCAGCAGCTTCGACCAAAACATGAACTCAGTGCACCAAAAAATAGACGTAACTCCAGTTTCTGTAGGAAAAAGGACAGTAAAGGGTTTGTTTTCTTAGCGTGTATGGTGAAGTTTACATTGTTGATGGAGACGTTACAGAGGAGAGAGGACAGAAAAATGATGCTTGCAGTTAGAACACACAACATACACAAAATTTCAGGCCGCCCTAAAAAGCCCTTTAACTTCCTGCAGTGGAAAACGGCTTGTAGTTTCTGGGATAACGTCCTGAAGTGCAGCTGCCTGTGTTGACCTGAGGTGAACTACGTGATGAGGCTTATTAGCAAGATGTCTGACAGTCTGCTTGCTGTTTTTCTTTTTTCTTTTTTTCTGACACATTCAGAATCATTATCACTTCTGCTGATATCGCTGAGGCTCACTTTGAGCGTAAACTTGTAGCATTTAGATTTCAAAGCCTCATTATGAGCCGTGGTTTTGTATTTCTCGGTTATGTAGCGCAGTGTTAACAGTGTCGTGGTCCTTATTACTTTCTCTCTCAGCCCTGGAGCTAAAATCATTTTCTGATGCCCCCACAATATGTATTTACATAATTAAGTCAGTGTTATAAATACATATACATATAACTACTTGATGAATAAGAAAGTACGTACTGTTTCATGCAGCATAACTGGGACAAACTACTTTGCCTTAAACTTGAGCAGCCTGTAATGCAAAATCAGCTTTCACCTGTTTGTGGCTTAAACTGGTTTATACACTGTGATGTAACTGCACAAAGGATTGTGGGTCAGAAAAGCCAGATGTGGGAGAACATCTGGGTATTTTTTTGCACACTACATTTGATACTCTATGTGTATTGTGACTTACTAAATCTTTTTCTGTTAGTGAGGATAAGTAAACAACTTTCTTTTTTTCCCTCATCCACAGAATGATGAGATCGAACATTCAGATTTCACCTTCGACATTTTCTACGCGCTCACACAGAAGATCTGCCCTCGCACGGACATAGAGGAGCTCTTCAAGAAAATGTGAGTTTCCTGTTTTTTTGTTTTGTTTTTTTCCAAACCTGCCTGCGTTCTTCTCTACACGATGATCCCCATGTTTGCTGATTGTGCACCTCAGAAATAGTGATAAATCTTAACAGCAGTACCCCGGCGTTGAACTGTACCTGTGTAGCTAAACACAACTGTTGAGATATTCCCCGATGAGCGACGAGCTGCTGCATCGTGTTGGAAATAATCAGGACAAAATGTTTCTGCGCCTGCTGCACTAACTACGTCTGGACGGCCTAACCTGCTTCCACAGTTCGACATTAATTACGTTCAACCTAATGACAACATTGAAAATAGAGTGATGATTAACATGTGAAAAGTTGAGGACTGCTTGTCTAATTTTAACTGTGTGTGAATGACTGTGAGAGTTTTTCTATTTTAAGAAGCGTAACGTCTTGTTGTTTTGTTTTTTTTTTCCTAATTAATTCCTTTGCAGCAATGGGAACAAAACTGATTATTTAACTGTAGACCAGTTAGTCAGCTTTCTGAATGAAGTAAGCTCTTTACATTAACTTCTCTGTGTATTTGGCTTGAGCCTGCTCTGCTACCTGCCCCCTCCCCCTCTTTGCTTTACTGCCCTCCTGCCCCTGGTAGAAAGTTGCCCCTCCGACCCTCATTGAAGCTCCACCAGTGAGGCTGCGGGGGCAACTTCCACCTGCCTCCCCTCCTGTTCTGCATGTCCGACCCTCATCCCATTTCCTCACGTCCCGTCTGCCCTCTCCTTGTGTCTGATTGGTGTTGCCATAGCAACCTGAGAGTATTTTTTTTTTCCCTCCTCCATCCCGTTGCTTCCTGGTTGGTTCCGCCTCGTTTCCTGCTGCGTCTCTGTCGTTTGTGGCCGTGGTTTCGCCGTGTTGTCCTACCTGCCTCGTCACGTGTGCCGCCGCTTCACGCCTCCAATCAGATTAATTCCTCCACCTGTGCTTGGCGAGTGGGCAGCGCCTCTGCAGTGATGCTGTTGTTTTGTTCCAACGCACGACTTCCTTTGCTTTTGAAGCGGCGTTTAAACGCTGCACCTGTTAGTGTGATTCACAGTTGCTGTGACCTACATGCTCTCTGTTGAAGGCCACGATAATACTGAAAACAGATCCACTGACTTAAGAAAACAAGTTAGGAACGAAATGAAGGCTTTAAATATCTTCTGCCTAAATATATATACATCATTTATATATAACACCTTTAAGGGGAGACACTGCAGATGAAATGCTTAACTAATAAATATCAACATAAAACCCTTCCAGTTGATTACTTCCATCAAGACAATTGTTTAGGTTCTCTTCAGGTTTTCTTAAATTTTATGTTTAAATATTCACATTTTAGATCTAAAATAGGGACGCAATTAATGATTGTTTTCACTGTTTATTAATTATAGGGTGAATCGGACGTATAGATGCGGAAATAAGCAAAAAACATACACGGAAATGTTTGATTTCTGGGTAAAATCAGGAACAGCAGCGCTCTAGAATCCTACTTGTTCTCTACTGAACGCGTTTCAGTGACTAAAGAAAAGACTCACTGATGCACACAAGGGACAAACTGATAAAAACCATCACTAGCAGCACCCACAGTGAACATGTGAACGATGTGACAAACAGTTTAAGCTGCAGTTGCATCAACAAAGTTTTCTATGGGACATGTAAAGAAGGTTTTCTCTTCTTGTTTATTTTTACATTTTTGTACCAAGTATATTTTTTTACAACTTGTTTTTTTAGAATGCATTTTGTTTACTTTGTACATTTTTTACACTCTTACACTTTTCCTGCAGATCAAATATCTGTTTGACCTTCAGAAACCTTCAGTCCTGTTGAAATTAGAGCCACGTTTTGGTACAACGTCAGCAACCAGCAGTCAGAATGTGCTGCAGTCGTAATGAACTCAGCAGAACCAGACACGTGCAGAAATCTGTTTTCTTTTGATTATTTGACTTTTAGTTGTTTATGGACAATAGTAGAGGGGGAGAAGATAGGGGGAGAGAGGGGTGAAAGGGAGAGAAGATGAAGGAGAGAGGAGTAATCGAGATTGAAGATGAGGGAGAGAAAGAGGGAGAAGATGGAGAGAGGAGAAGAAAGGGGTGAAAGGAGAAAAAGGGGGTGAGAGGAGTGAAAGGGGGAGAAGGGAAGAGAGAAAGGAGGGTTACAGAAGGAGGACAGGTGAGTCTCAGAGCAGGTGGAGATGGAGAACAGGAACTTCCTCCTAGCTGGTCTGATGACTGTCAACCAGCTTTTCTTCTTTGTTCTGCTCCAAACTTCCAGTTCGGTTGTTGAGCTGATAAATGTCCACCTCCTCTGAGGCCTCCTCCTGTTGCTGTCATCGCCCAAATCCTCCTCTGGGTGTTGCGTTGCCTCGTTGGGACATCGAACAGTCAGAAATCATAGACAGGGTTGATGGTTGATACTGTTGCTGATGCTGAACTCAACCTGAGCAGAGCTGTGAGGTTCTTGGAATGACTTCTTCCTCTTGGTGTCCTGTTTTATAGCCGCAGAGGCTTCACATGACGTCATCAAGTGACATCATAATGAGAACCCTAATTGTTCTCTGCTCAAAGCATTTCAAATGGTGGAACCCTTGTTGCTAGGCAACTTCATGAGAGGCTCATTCAGAGCGTCACATGGTGTCTGTGGTGGCTAAACGTCCACAGCAGATCAAACCGTGTAAAAGCAACACTTTAAGGGTTAAACTTTCTGGTGTGTTTGGTCTCATTCAGAATCAGTGTTGAATTAACTCTTAATACAGTAAAACATTCACCAACGCTGTAAAGTGTCATTTGAAGCTACCAGCAAGTTCATTAACTCTGTTCATTTTGTATGAACATGCGTTGATCTTTTACTCTTCTGATTCAGCATTGAGTCACATCTAAATGTTTGGTGATGCTGTGTTGAGTCATTAGAAGTTAACGCTGGAAAAAAA